GTGCTCGTATTATGGCGAGCATCTCCTTGTCATAGATCTCGTAGTTCCTTTCTACCTCCGAGAAGCTCTTAGACATGAAGGCCACTGGGTGGTAGTCTCCATCCGACTGAAGCTGTGAGAGGACTGCCCCCGTCGCAAAGTTGGAGGCGTCACACTCTAGGCGGAATGGGGCAGTGTTGGAGGGGAAGGTGAGCACCGGGGCCAACGTGACTGCTCGCTTCAAGTCCTCAAAGGCAGTCTGTTCTACTAGGCCCCAGGCCCAAGGCTGGGTCTTCCGGGTGAGTCGGTGAAGGGGCTTTGCCTTTTCTGAGAAGTCCCGGATAAAGCGGCGGTAGAAGTTGACGAAGCCTAAGAAGGATTGAACCTCCTTGACCTTCATGGGGACTGGCCAGTCAGTTACTCCCTTCACCTTCACTGGGTCCATCGCAACATGACCTTCAGAGATGACAAGGCCCAGGTAGTCGATGGTGTTCTTCTCGAACCTGCACTTCTCGGGCTTGAGGAAGAGCTTCCGCCTCCTCAGGGTGGCCAGAACCTCTTGCACGGCCTTCCGGTGCTCTTCAAGAGTGGGGGAGAAGACTAGGATGTCATCCATGTAGCAGATGACATCCCCTTGGTCGATGAACTCCCGCAGGATGTCATTCATCATTGTCTGGAAGGTGGCAGGGGAGTTGCAGAGGCCGAAGAACATCACTGTAGGCTCAAACAGCCCTCGGTTGGTGGCAAAGGCCGCCTTCCACTCATCCCCCTCCTTGATCCGGACATTGTTAAACCCCCATCGTAGGTCTAGGGTTGAGAACCACTTAGCGCCCTGGAGGCGGGTGAGGACGTCGGATATCAGGGGGAGTGGGTAGGAGTTTTTAACCGTGACCTCGTTCAGCTTGCAGTAGTCTTGGACTAACCTCAGGGACCCATCCTTTTTCTTCACAAATAACACAGGGGCCCCTGTCGGGGACTTAGATGGTCTGATCCGCCCATTTGCGAGGTTCTCCCTGAGGAAGGCATCCAGCTCTTTCTGCTCCGCTGGTGAGAGCGGGAACGTCCTCCCTCGGGGGAGCTTGGCATCTGGGGCGAGGTCGATGGCATGGTCCCAAGGCTTCCGGGGGGGGGAGTTCGTTGAAGGCTTCCTTGGAGAATACATCCTGGAAGTCTCGGTAGTGCTCTGGCACCAGTTCCTCGAAGGGGCGTTCTACCGGGGGGCCTTCCTGTGCATCCTGGGCCATTCGCTGAGAGGGGGTGGATGTGGCTCGGAGCTCATGGCCCCACTCTGGTGGGATCATGGCTGCATAGACTCCGTCTCCGGGTTCGAGGGCGAAGTCGGGTTCCCCCTGGGTTCCCGGCTTCGGCATTGGGTTCCGGCCGTAGCAGGCTGGTGGACACCGGGACAGGGTGACCCTCTGCTTGACCCAGTCTACTTCTGGGTTGTGGTGGAGGAGCCATGAATGGCCAATTATCACTGTCTGGTGGCCCAGGTTAGCAACTGCAAACCGGGCCCGCTCCGTGTGTCGGCTGAATCGGAGGAGCACTTCTACCTCCTCTGTGATGGATCCGTTCTCATTCAGGGTTCCGTCCACGTTATGGATGGGGACCGGTTGCACTAGAGGCAAAGTCTCTAGGTTGTGCTTCTGGACGAAGTCGCGTCCGATAAACATTCCAGTGGCCCCTGAGTCCAGTAGAGCAGAGGTGGTGACTGAGCGGAGTGAAGTGGTGGACATCAGTTCCACTGAGAGGTTGAGCGAGCGGGGGGAGTGCTTAGACAGGACGTAAATTGCAGGGGCTGGGACGGCAACCTTGCATGGGGGTTCACCCCCTTCTGGCTTTCTTGGTGTGGCTTTTCTCTTTTTTGCAATTACCCAGAGCAGCTTAGATTGCATGGCCCGTCTGGGGCGGCTGCGGTATTTACAGGTGGGTACATTGCTCTCATCAGGCAACTGGGGCACACTCTTCACCGGTCGCCCTCTAGAAAATCCCCTGTTGGATCTTCCTCCGCTTCCTCTGGTTCTGGGGGGGGGCCTCCACTGCGTGATGGCCTCTCAGCGAGTCAATGATCGCTCGAAGGTCCTCTGGGGCCAGCCGGGATGGGGTTCTGAGGGTTTCTTCTTGGAAGGCCCCACGGATCTGGTGAGGTCTCGGCCTTGGGCAGTCGCGGGCTATGTGCCCCGGTTGGTTACAGTTGAAACAGAGCCCACTGCGTCTCTGCTCAGTGCGGGGGGAGCGTGTGTGGTCCAGGTCCATTGCTTGAGGGTCTGGCTTTGGGGTTGCAGCAGGAGCAGTGGTGGATGGTGCCAGGGGAGGGGTGGAGCGAGAGAGGAATGGGGAGGGTTTTGCTGCCATGGTGCGAGGTTGGGTGGCTTGGAAACGTCGCCACTGGTTGTCGAGGATGGAGGCCTCACGCTTCCATTTGGCCCAGGTTGCAGGCATCGGGCGGAGGCGGTAGATGCTCTCTCGGAGGCGTGGGTGGAGGGCCTGCTCGAAACGGTCCACCAGGGCAACATCTCCCATCCATGACACAGGTCCGTGGAGTTCAAACTGCTGGATCAGTTTGTCCACCGACTCGCTGCCTTGCCGAAGTGAGGCCAGCTTCTGCCGAGCTGTGGCCTGGCGGTTGGGGTCAGCAAACATGGAGTCTAGTTCTTGGGCGAAGTCATCGAAAGCGATCCTTGGGGAACCGGGGGCAAGGAGGGAGTTGATGCGCTGGGTAGCCCATGGGCCAGCAGCACCTCCCTTCATGTATGACAGGACAAACAGAACTTGGCTGTGTTCGTCTGGGAACTCGGCATGGCGCATGCTCATGTAGAGCCCGCATTCTGCCTTGAAGCGGTCCAGGTCATCTTGCGACCCGGAGAAGGGAGTGGGGGTAGCTACTTTGGGTGGCTTGCGGGTCGGAGCAGGGGCAGCAGCAGGGGGGGGGCAGGCTGCCTTTGGGTAGCCAGCTGGGTCTGGAGGTCTTGGAGCTGGCGGGTCAGCTCTAGTATCTGTTCTTCTAGCGACATCAGGGGGTGTGGAAGTAGGTTGAACCCTTCTTCTGCTATCAGGGCCCGGCCTCCGTCCGGGGGCGGCCCTACCTCAGAGCTGGACACTTGCGGTGTCCCAGGTAGCCAGGTGCTGGATCCTATCCCAAGCTCCTCAAACTCACTAAGCGGGGATTGAGTTGTCATGTATTATGGAAGATAGCTACAACTTGCCTAAGCGGGGATTGAGTTGAGAAGAAGGGTAAGTTTCCCTATTCCCCGCTTGGCTGCTATAAAAGGAAATGTACTGTACAGTTTGTAACGTGACTATGGGTAAAAGCCAAGCATGTTCCCACGATGCGGAAAAGGTGTCACATGGGTTAAGGCGAGTTGCTCGCCTTGACCCACGTGATTTTTCCCACGGGTTCACATGCGGGCTGTAGTTGTGAAAGATGGGAGGATGAGGGAAGTGGGGGGAGGTTAGGGAAGGTGGTTCTGGGGTTGTATGGTCAGGTGTGGTTGCCCTGACACCTGTTCGCATCTCTGTCTTGGAACTCCAGTCTTAGCTCCAACCTCGGACTTTGACCTCACCTCCACTTATACCCATTGTATTGGTTAGCTAATTCCATTTATTTACCTTTGCCAATATTCCAGAGTTTAACTTCCGAGTTTGGACTTTCCAGACGTACTTCGGACCTTGCAACTATTGCATTGTCCCATTCAATTCTGCTATTCTCCCTCATTCCTATTTGGGCTGCTGCTTCTTTCTATTCAGTCAGCTAGCCATTCCTGACTCCCATCCTCCATCCTTCCTCCTTGGGCCTTGGCCCTTCACTCCTCCTTTGAGAAACACCATTGAGTCAAACCCTTGACCCTCAGTGTTGTTCCCCCTTCCAGCTCCCTTTGTCTCCTTTCAGATTACCCTTGCTCCTTTTGATTCTGGACCCCTCCTTTATATACAATGTACCTAGTAACCTGTAACCTCAGTCTGAAATTGACTTGATTTCCCCCCTAAGAGACTTCCCCCTTGCCAGATCCGAAATTAGGGACCCCCAGGACAACCAGCAATGGCACAGCACTCCACCTGAGTCGCTGAGGCCAAGGTCCTTCCATAATAAGTCTCTGATTCCATTCCGGAATTGTCCAAACCTGCCCTTTCTAACACACTGCAATTTTGGATCAAATTATATGAAAAATTTTGTGAATAGTAGCCAATAGGAATGTTGTTTCATACCCTAGCTAGTTGGCTGAGGAATGTAAGGATGAAGGAGGAAATAGGGATGCAAATTCAGTGTCCAAAAATGGCAATCACCCCTCAATGGTTATTATGTCTCATAATGCATCATCTGTGCACTTCTTCTGGAGTATTGCAGTGCAGGAAGTCCCTGCACCTCTGTGACTTCATCCTAGCCATTTTGAAACACAGACAGAACCTAAGTTGGATGGGTATTTAGCATTGCTAATTGGTCTAGTGTGCAATATAACAGAGAATATCATAGATATCCCTGTACTATTCAGCTACAGATAATCTTTCTCTAAACACAGTGAGTGTGTCCAACTTTTAGGTTTCCCTACCAGGCTACTTTTGTTATGAGGGTTCCCCTCAAACTGATGGCCGAGCTTCCGATGTTGCCCATTTCCCACGGTAAAAAAAAATTGAACCCCCTCTGGAAACAAAAGCCTCGCAAGCTCGGCCAAAAAGACCACGTGAAAATTCCAACAGTTATCTTGTTCTTTGCGCATTTATGCACATATTCTTGAACATCATCTAACTTATACTAATCGCGTGCGCGGGTCCAGCCGGATGACCTCCTTTATACTTACAGTTTGAAATTATTGAAACCTCTAGTTGATTTTAGAATCGTATTTAAGATTTTTAAGATTTTTTTTTTTCACCTGTACATGACCTTTGTGGAACGTGCTGGGTGGGGCATTTACGCTGATTTTCTTTGGCTTGCTGTAACGCCTCGTGATGCGTTACGCTTGAGCGGTGTTTTCCGACATTCCCTGCACCTTTTGCACAATCACTCACGGCCGCAATTATTCGCCATGCTTGGTGTGGTAGACCAATGCCCGAAATGCTCGAAAGCTGCATATGCCGCTGAAAGGGTAAGTTCCAAGCTGGTTATGCTCGATCGAAACTAGACCAGGATTCTTTGGGATAGGTAATGGGGCCTGGTCGTAAGGTTCGATTTTTAAGTTGTGTGCTCCCTTTCCATAAACACTGAATGACGGATGCGTGCTCCTCCCGCTGTGGCTCTTTAGTACTACCACAAGGTGCTCTCTACCTCCTAGGCTGGTTCGACGCAGCTCAATGACCATATTCGCTCAGTCATGTCTCATGTGCACGTTGTGCGGAAGTCGTTTAGCACCTGGTGCTCTCCAAGAACACGATGAACAGGTCAGTGAGGGAACTATCGTCCTTTGTGCAAAGCATTCGAATTCTGACATCCGAACTCACAGCCGTACTGCCGGAATTGCTATCTAAAGCTCTTTTCTACCCTCGACCTCAGACACCAAAATCTCCATAGTCGTGATTGTGCTTCCCCGAGCTCATCCCCTAATCGCTCAACGCCAAGTGCGGTGACGCCCCAATACACCAGTTCGACACCGAACGTTGCCCAAGTTGTTCCTCTTGGCCAGACAAATACTGTTGGTGCTCGTTTTAACGTATCCTCGCAGACACAGTGTCCACTCTGTGGTAGTGCGGTGTACCATGCTGAGCAGGTTGGGGGCTATTTTTTGTGTCGTGGCAACGATTCTGACCAGAAGACGTCGCAACAATTAATGTTAGGTGGTGGCTCTGGGGAAGAAATGGGTGAGAAAATACGATTGCTGTCTAGTTTTGAGGTTGAACTGCATCCGTTGCTCAGCACCGCGCTTGCCTGCAATGTTCTTCGTGCCAGAGGCGACTCGAATCTCACAACATTTGTGACAACGATGGTGATGCTTACTGCAGGATGTGTTACTCTCAGGTCAGATATTTACTGGTGTGCGAATATCCACTCAAGAATCTGTTTCAATTAGAAGCACGGACCTACTGGCTGTGGGTATGCCCTTGTTGGAAAGCCAGGGGGTTGAACTATTGGCCATGTGTTGTTGGGGTACTCGATTTGTGCTGTAGTAATTCGAGTGCTGCATGTATGCGCTGCCTCGTCCGTTTTGAGTCACGAAGGGTGGTTTTGGTTGGATAGTTGGCTAGATCGGAAAAGAATGAGTGAAGCCCAATGGACAGATTCCCGTGAACATGGTTCAACGGATGGGGCAATCGGCGACAGTGTTTGCCAACCAATGCGGTGCAACAGGCCGTAGGGTGTGAATGATGCTTTGGTCCTTTCGATCGAATCACTCGTGCCTTGCTCTGATTTGGGTGTCTCGGATGAATTGTTGCAATGGAATTATCCTATCATAGGATTGAGTGAAGCTACGATTGCCCGTGCCGGCCTGCGAGTGCGTCATGAGCGTGCATGATAAGGGTGTCAAGAGAGAGAGCAGCCTGAGGACGACGACATAGGGAGGGGCATAAGATAATGCCTCATGCAAAAAAGATGCAAGGCAAGTTAGGAGGACATCCGCGGGGCGTGGTGATGGATGCGCGTGGCAGTCCAACCGGCATGTACATGCTGTATTATTTATTTCATTTATTGGCCAAAAGTATCAATTATTGGACGAGATAAGACAGAGGTCTGCCACGTACAAGTTGTGTAGCTCGTTAGAAGCCAAGCTAGCTGTCGCTCTCGAAACTTGCTTTTTCTGAAGAGTGCACAACGAGGTGGCTAGAAGAAGCAGGAATATGATCCTGCAGGCGTATTCTTCTTCGTCTATCGATGTTAAATCATATTTTTGCAACAGTACCAATCTGCGATCTTCTTCACCAATTTAGCTTCCCCGTTATGGTTGCATTCTTTTCCTTTCATCTGCAACCGTGTCCCGTGGTCATCTATCCGTCCCAATTTGAGCATGTGGATGATCATGCATGCTTCAATATTTTGATTGCAGAAATGATTTCTGATATCCAACTGAATGATCAAATATTATATATACCATCTTGTAAACAAGACAAAATAGAAATGGAATATTCTTCCCAAGAGAAGGGTTGGCCTGCACGTTGCTGTTGCCGCTATTAGTCCTTGAGCGCTACTCCTCACCAGCGCGAGCACATCTCCCCATCCCGTCGCTCCTCCGCTTTCTCATTCGCACCGTTTTCCCTTTGCTTTCTATTGTCCTTCTGCATGGCTCCCTTCATCCTCAAGTTCAAGGTAATTCTGCTGCACAACTCCAAGCCTATCGCCTTCCCTCTACCGCTTCGCTTACAACTAATTATCCAGGGTAACAAGTCGTTTTCTCCTTTTTCTCAGCTTTCAGGTCAGAAATACCCCCTCGATCTCCTTAACTCTCCTCTCACTGCTCCCGATCTCCATTGCAGACACCGACAGCCTCACTCGTACATGGAAAGTATGCACCAAGGTCCGTTTCATACTTCGTCTTTCAATCTCCCCCATTGAACCATTTCCTTACGATTCCGCTTTCTAGGTCGCAGCTCACCTGGAGCAGGGTAACTCGATCCTCCTAATCCCTGCATGGCTTTCCTGTTTGACATATTATCCTCTCGGGCCTCCTTGTCTTTCTAGGCCAGCGACTCGAGAACCTGTCCTGGAGATGTTGGTTCCTACACTCTTTAATGGTGGAGGCTGATAACACTAAATCTAAACGCGAGTTCAAAAAGATGACCAAGTCCATGGGAGAGAAACTAGACAAGGAAAAGGGCAGGTAAGTAAAACTTTGTGACGTTTTTCCGCCGGTTTTGGTACCAATCGCCGTTGAACAGGAGCATCGAAGAACTGCACGCCCCAGATTTCAAAGGCTCTGACTCGACGAGCAGAGTGAAGCAGCGAGCAGATGAACGCTTTCGAGATACCCACATGCCCGACGGATCTCGACCATCTATGAAGGGGATGCAATACACATTCTCTGTCGCTCCGCCTACCATTGTGACCACAAATGTGACAAAGCCAAGCGTAAAGAAGTCCACTACTCCGTCCTCAGGTCCTCCGTCAGGAAGTGAGCACCCCCGCCAGGACACCAATGCTGCTGTCCGTCCCTTGCAGCTTTTGGATGAAAACTGCAAAGTCCCTCAGTTTTCGCCTGCTGAAATCCACCTGCCCCCATCGCCAACGGACATGGATCGTCCACCCTCGCAGACAGATCCCCCCCTCGTAGCATCTCAGCGTTCTAACTTCTCCAGTGTAGTGCGCTTCCCAGCTTTGTTTTCTTCTGACTTTAGCCCGACAGCACTACTTGGCCCCAGTTCCGCTTCTACCAATCCCCGTATGTCCTATGGTGAGGATGTTATTGGAGCCGGCCTCACCGAAAGCATGGCCCGAGGTTCATTCGACGTTCCGAGGCCTGCGTTCGAGTTTCCGTTGGACGAACTCATGGATTCTCCTGAGTCTCGTTCCTTGCCAAACGGTGAAGAAGAAATGAAGGATGCCTTCTCCCATCCGGCGGGAAATTCCGTAACTCACCAAGACTATGGACTTTCTTATCTCTTCAGCTCTAGCGGCAACGATGTCGAACCATATCTTCCGAAATCGGACCCAACCCAAGTTTTGACTCTTCAGTATCAAGCGAACACGGAGCAGTTCCCTTTCTCACCATACGGGCAACTACACCATCCACCCATGACCATCTCCCCTACTTCTCCGGATTTTTCTGCTCCGTTTCCGGGCAATGTGGTGCAAGCACCTCCTACAAACACCTTCTCCGCGAGCGTGAAAGGTAGACCCCGTTCCTCTTCGAAGCACCAGAGAGATGAGGATGCGTTCGTTCTTACATCCACACCAAGCCGCGGGACCCGCCATTCTCACTCGGCTTCACTGCCTCACTTTTCTTCCCAGACGTTGGATGTGTTGCCATCTCCCTCAAGTTCTTCTGTTACCCCATCGAGAAGAAACAGCCTGAAGAATGGTAATCGTCATCAACCTCCTTCAGCGACTCCTCCCCCTCGAGCCCAACGATCAAGTCACGGAGGTCTGACACCGAGCAGTGTGAAGACCGAGTGTGCAAATTGTGGTGCTACGTCCACTCCTCTATGGAGACGTGGCCTCAATGATGAGCTCAATTGTAACGTACGCAAGTACTCCATACTTCCTCTTGGAAACTTTACTAATCTTCGATATCGTTCATAGGCATGTGGTTTGTTCGCCAAGCTGGTAAGAATAACTTGCCTCGCATCCCCGCTCCAAAAGTTGAAGTGCAATTACAGCACAAGCGTGCTCGACCCAAGACGTTGAGGAATCAGATGAGTTCCGAAAATAACAATAGGCAAGGGGTTTGGACGCCTCGCCAGAGTGATCAGGGGGATGGTGAAGCGGGTACGTTTGTTCTGCATGCACACTTACAACGACCGAATGCTGTCCACAGTTAGTTGCTACAACTGTCACACGACCGCTACTCCTCTCTGGCGTAAAGATGAGGGTGGTCGAACCCTCTGCAATGCGTAAGTTCTCTGGAATTCCGATCCTTGCAATCCGTCCTGACCACGCCTGGCTATTTTAGTTGTGGTCTTTAGTAGGTGATCTGATTGTATTTTAATTTGCATGAACGCTGACGCAGGTGTCGTCACTCAGCTTAAAGCTCCATGGTGAACGTCGTCCCTCATCAATGAAGTCTGATGTAGTACGTAAACGCAATGGGCGAAAAGGGTCTTCTCCTAGCGACACACCAACCGGGACCCCCAACGAGAGTACCCATACCTCCCCTATCATCGGCCCTTCCATGCCACCAACGATCCAGGACATCCATCCTCCTATGCTCCCATCCTCCTTCGATTTCTCTGCTGCTGGGTTCGAGTTTTCTCAAGTTACGCACGATTCCACAGATCGCTTGACTTACCAGCATGAACTTGACCGTGATGCCACACTCAGAATGACCATGTCTCCAGGCTCATCATATCTCGAGAATCTTACCTATCCCGCTGCCCTATCAGCATACAACGTGCAGCCCTTCTACAATAACAGTGCCCATGACACCACTTCTGATGACACGGCTGGAAGCCATGGCAACGGACGCGCGCCGGAGAGTATCAATCTCAGCCCAGGCGCAGCCACAGTTAGCACTGGTCGGGCAGCCTTCCAGGATGACGGTTTCAAGCGACGACGAGTTTCCCCTGAAGTGGATGCTCATGTGAGTACGGAAGTGGAGAACGCATTCGGCACCGTGGACGACCAAGTGTCCAGGCCGTTCGACCATTTCAGCGCCTATTATCCATATCCTTTCACTTTCACTTCTGCTGCGAGTTTGTTCCACCCACCGATGGCATTTGTACCTGAAGACCAGATTGAGGCGGGGGAGGCAATGGACACTTCGGTTTCTTGCGCCCGTGGGTTAGACAAGGACGGTGGCTCGCCAAACTCTGGTTCTTAGCAACTGGCAACAGCGTTCGCAGCGTTCAAAACGCGAAGTGAACTTGAAGTGCGCTCTCGTGTATTTTTTTTGCTTATGTATCCGTGCAAGCCGCAATGTAGGTTTCCAGTTTGACAGAGTTTACATGTTGTACATAGCGCATAAGAGGCATGAATTAGAAACAAGCACATGAATCACAGGCACTGATCCCTTTTTTTTTTTTTTAAATCCAGAAGGTGTGACAGAAAGTCCGGGGTGAGGTCTGTGTTGGAGACAAGCCACGATACTTAACTCCCACATCTTTCTTACCTAATCAGATCTCCGACCACCTCTGAGAATCGGCCATGCGCCATCACTCAATCTGCCCAATCTGCCCAATCGACTATGTTGGAATACGAGTCACATGATGAGACTGAACCGGAATATCCGGGAATATTCTACAGGTTACTAGGTGCCTGTGTAAGGGCTGGGCATAGGAATGTTGTTGAGGAGTATAAATATGGGTGCTGGTATTTGAGTTATATTTCTTTCTATATTACATCTGGGTTGCTGTCAGGGCACACACCCTGACTAGCCTGGACCCACATGTGCACTCTGCCCCGCATGCTCCGGGCCCGGTTCCCACTCTTCATGTGAGTTCCGGGTATCCCCGGAAGTTTTCACCATATTGGGGCCACTGTGGGAAAGTGAGAAGTTAACCTTCTTCTCACTTTCTTACCCACAGTAGTTATGCCCTGAGATGGGCTGTGTTTACAGGTCAGACTGTGGGCCATAGAGAGGGGTCATGGGGACCCGGGGTCCATCCCCTGACAGTTGCCATATTTGGAATGCCGCGTTTACAATAGACTACTCTCAATCATCTCAATCACCACAACCACACATGGATATGTCCATGTGTGTGAGTCTGTCATTTGCATCCAGTGTCAGAGACCAGGTTGAGACGAAGGAGTGTCTCTGTGGTGGAGGGCTTCGGCCTCAGTGACTTATGCCAGGAGTGCTGTGCCAAGTAACACGTCTGTGCCCTAACTTACTAAACTGGCAACCAGAACTGAAGGGGGTAAACTCTAGTCGATTTTATTACTGAGTGTAACCTATGTACAAGTTGAGTATATATATATAGTTACAACGAGGGCAGGCCCGCAAATGGCGGAGCCGAGTGGAGCGGAGCTAATGGGGTTAGACATTAGCCGATTGAATATTACCGACGAGTCAGGTTACAGGGTTAACGGAATGGTAGGCGATAACCCAGAAACAGAAAGGAGGGATAGGCCCGAAGGTGGGCTTGCAGGGCAAGTGAGTGTATTGCCCAGCGGAGGCAGGAGTGCGCTAGTGGACGTTGGAGCTGTCCAGAGGCCTTCGGGGCTCTGTACTTAGGGAGGTGTAGGTAATAAATTGAAAAGAGAGGTGGTCACCATTGAGGGGTACCGAGGTGATTGCGGAATACGGGAGCTCTGAGGTTAGTGAAGAAGGAGTGGAGGTAGACTGGAGGGATTGGAGGGAGTGGAAGTCGATGGCTGGGGATGGATATGACAGTATCCCCTTCTTAGGCCTGAACCCTTGAAGGCCCAGAATTAGTAAGGTGAGGGGAGCTGTACTTACAGAAAGGAAGAAAGGAAATGGAAGTGAGGAGTGGAGAGAAAGGGAGAAATGGGAGAGGAGTTGGGGTTCCTAAGGGGCTTCAGGTCCAGGCTTATCTGGGTACCGAGAGTGGAATGCTTCGATGAGGTCGGAGGCGTGATCGAGTTCTCCGGCAAGGAGCCATTGTGTCTCCTCGTTGGTCCCTTCATAGCCTAGCCACTTGACCAGGTAGAGCAACTTGTTGCATCTACATCGGTCGATCTTGGAGTCGAGTATCTCCTCGATCTCGAACTCGATCTTGCCTTCAATTTCTATGGGAGGCAGAGGTGGCTGGTGGCGGTTCGGAATGATGTTTGGGATGGAGGGTTCGATCTGTGAGACATGGAATACCAGGTGAATGGCTTGCATGTTTTCCGGCAGGCGGAGAGTGAGGGAGTGAGTTCCTATGCGGGCAATGATCTCGAATGGGCCGAGGTTTTTCTCGGAGAGCTTTTTGGAAGGTTGGGTGGAGCAGAAATACTTGGCCTTTACATAGACCGAGGTTCCTACTTTGAAAGCTGGGGCAGGACTCTGACAGGAGTCTGCCAGGCCCTGATAACGGATCTGAGCGAGGTGCATTTCCTTGCGAAGGAAGTGATGGAGGGAGTCGAGATCTACAGAGTACTCCTGGGCGCGTACTGATGTTAGGTCTCGCTCTGGGTGAACGGTGATGTTCAGATGGTAGCCTTTGTTGGCGAAGAACGGAGAGACGCCTGTGGTGGCATTCGGAGCATTGTTGTATGCGAACTCCGCGAGAGGCAGGAGTTCGGACCAATTGTCCTGCTGGTAGTTACTGTAGATGCGCAGGTACTGCTCGAGCGTCTGGTTCATCCGTTTGGTCTGACCATCTCCTTCCGGATGATAACCGGAGGTGAAGTGGAGGCGGATGTTGAGGGCCTTACCAAGTGAATGGAAAAAATGAGAGACAAACTCTGGACCCCTGTCGGAGGTGATGTGGGAAGGAACTCCGTGCTTGGAGAACACATGGAGGAGGAAGAGCTTGGCCAGTTCCGGAGAGGTGATGGTATCGTGGGTAGGAATGAAAATGCACTGTTTAGACAGGCAGTCCACGACGACCAAGATGGAAGTGAATCCGGAAGAGGAGGGTAGCTGTTCGATGAAATCCATGGAGATGGAGTTCCAAGGATGTTCAGGGATGGGGAGTTGTTTGAGCAAGCCGTAAGGCTTATGACGGGGAACTTTGGCATGGGCACAAGAAGTGCAGGAGGAGATGTAGCTCTTGACGAAGTTATGGATGCCCAGCCAGGTATACTCATGACGTACTAGATCCAGAGTCTGGTTTTGACCGAAGTGTCCGGAAAGTTGGTGGTCATGTTTGTCTCGCAAAACGCGGAGACGGAGATCGTTGGAATCCAGAACGTAAATGCGGTTGTCCAGCCTTAACAGGCCTTCATGTCAGGGCATGGCCTAACCGGCTACCCTGACTCCCTATGCTGGAAGGGAGTTGCCGTAAGACGATCCGGAGTGATCCAAAGAACGCAGGTAATCTCGCTTAGCTTTCGCTTAGCTCCTGCTTAGCTCCTGCTTCTATCTTCCGTCCACATGTCACCCCTTTCCCACACCTCGCTTACGATTATCCGAATGAATAGCTATCTTTTCATGTCGTCATTCTATCGGCTGTTTCTTATCTCGTTTGTAGCCGCACTCTAGTGGATAGCGGTATCCATGTATATAAGCCCTATCTCCGCTGAAGGTGGCACTTCAGCGTTAACAACGACTAGGATTCTCGGGAACACCCTTATCGTCGTGAACTGACACACGGTCCCTGACACTTCAGCATCAACGGACCAGCGGGAATTGGGGAGGTTGGGGGAAGCGAGATGAGAAGAGATTGTGGTATCGGAGGAGAGGGAGGCTAGAATGTCTCGATGGAGAGCCTCTGTGTCGACGAGTATGGCTGCTCGGATTACTGTGGCAGCTAGGAATGTGGCTCGTAAGGACGCAGTGAGCTGCTCTGAAGTGAAGACCGGTCAGAAGTTCTGCAGATTGACGTGAGCGTAGTCCATATCCCCTTCTTTGGGATAGACGTCCCAGCGTCTAGTCAATGCATCTGGTTTTACTCCGAGTCTTCCGGGATGGAATTGGACAGTCATGTGGAACTGGGAGAGGAACTCTGACCAACGGGCTTGCCACCAGGTCAAGAGTTTGGTGGTGGAAAAATACTCGAGGTTCTTGTGGTCGGTAACGACATCGATTGGAGTTCCTGAACCTTCAAGGTAGTGATGCCATGATCGGAACGTGTCATGGATGGCGAGCAGTTCCTTATCATGGGTGTTGTAGTTGAGCTCCGGTGCCGAGAGTGTTCTAGAGCAGAAAGCGATGGGGCGAATCTCTCTGTCATCACAACGGATGGACAGGATTCCGGAGATCGCATAATCGGAAGCGTCAGTTTCTACAATGAGGGGGGCATCGGGTAACCAATGTGTCAGGATAGGAGCAGAAGTGAAGGCTTCTTTCAAGGTGTTGAAAGCAGAGCAACAGTCGTCAGAGAATAACCAGGGGGCTCCTTTACGCATAAGGCGCATCAAGGGGACCACAATGTCGGAGTATTGGTGGATGAAACGCCAATAGAAGTTAGCGAAGCCAAGGAAGGACTGGACATCCTTGACTTTACGGGGCTTGGGCCAATCTTGGACAGCTTTGACCTTCTCGATGGACATGGTGAGTCCGGAGGGAGAAAGGCAGTATCCGAGATATTCCGTAGTGTCTGTATGAAATTTGCATTTTTTCAGATTGGCGTATAGGCTGTGTTTGCGGAGTCTCCTAAGAACTTCTTGGACATGCTCCTGATGTGAAGCCATGTCTTCCAAGTAGGTAAGGATGTCATCTAGGTAGACTACCACAGAAACGTCCAAGAGGTCGGCAAAGATCGTGTTGACGAATCGCTGGAAGGCTGTGGGTGCATTTGTGAGACTGAATGGCATGACAAGCCACTCATAGGAACCATAGCGTGTGCGGAAGGAAGTCTTCCATTTGTCGCCTGCTGCAATGCGAACCAGGTGGTAAGCATGCCGGAGGTCGAGTCTGGTGTAGACTGTGGCACAGCTAGGTGCATCAAGGAGGTCGGAGATGTGGGGGAGTGGGTAGTGATCCTTTTTGGTGATCTTGTTCAGCCCTCGGAAGTCAACGCAAAGACGGAGGGATCCATCTTTCTTGTGGACGAAGAGGACTGGTGCTGTGTGAGTGCAAGTAGCGGGACGAATGAACCCGGAGGACCTCGAGTTCCGAAGTAGAGAGAGAGTACATAGTACCCAAGGGTGGTGAAGTGCCTTCCTCAAGGTCGATCTTCAGGTCATGCTCACGGTGCAGTGCCAGCATTGAGGCTTTGCTCTTACTGAACACATCTACGAACTCATGGTACTCCTTCGGAATGGCCGAGAGGT